AGGAAAGCTGGTATTTCCTCACATATGTGGAAATCAGACAACACACTCTTTAACAACTGATAAGTCAAAGAAGAAATCAAAAGAAAGATTAGAAAATATCTTGAGACAAATTAAAATGAAAACATAATATACTAAAACTTATGGGATACAGCAAAAGCAGTATTAAGAGGGAAGTTTATAGTAAGAAAAAGTCATTCTGAAAAAGATCTCAAATAAAAAGCATAACAATACCCAATGACCTAGAAAACAAGAACTAAGCCAAAATTTAGAAGAAGGAAGGAAATAATTGAGATTGGAGCAGAAATAATTAAAATACAGACTACAGAAAAAGAAAAATAGTTAATGCCACTAAGAATTAGTTTTTTGAAAAGACCAATAAAAGTGACACACCTTTAGCTAAGGTAAATAACAAAAAGAGAAGACTCAGTTAAATAAAATCAGAAATTAGAGGAAAGATATTACAGCGGATGCTACAAAATTAGAAACTACAAAATTAGAAGCACTGTAGGAGACTACAATGAACAAACATATGTCAATAAACTGGATTACCTAGAAGAATTTAACAAATTCCTTTAAAAAAAAAAACACGACTTACTAAGACTGAAGCATGAAGAAATAGAAAATCTAAACAGACCTATAACTAGTAAGGAGATTGAATCAGTAATCAAAAATCTCCCAGCAAAGAAAAGCCCAGGACCAAATGACTTTAGTGGTGAATTCTATCCAATACTTAAAGAATAATTAGCACCAATCATTCTCAAACTCTTTTTAGAAATTGAAGAGAAAGAAACACTGCCAAACTCATTTCACGAGTCCAAAATTATCCTGATATAAAACCAGAAAATGACACTACAATAAAAGAAAACTGAATTCAACCACACATTAAAAGGACTTTATACCATGACCAGGTGGGATTTATCCATAAACTGCAAAAATAGTTCAGCATACAAAATAAATCAGTGTGATATACTACATTAATGGAATTAAGAAATGGGAAAAGCACATGCTCATCTTAATGGGTACAGAAAAAGCATTTGACAAAATTGGACACCTTTTTATGTTAGCAGCACAAGGAAAACTAGGAATAGAAGGAAGTGACATGAACATAATAAATAAGGCCAATATATGAAAAGCCCACAGGTGACATCACACTCTGTGGTGAAAAAATTGAAAGCTTTTTCTCTAAGATGAGGATACTCTAAAACAGGGATGCCTACCCTCACCATTCTAGTCAACATAGTACTAAAAGTATCAAGCCCAATAAATCAGGCAAGAAAAAGAAAAAGCATCCAAATCAGAAAAGAAGTAAAACTATCGCTGTTTGCAAGTAATGTGATCTTATATGTAGAGAATCCTAAAAATTCTACAAAAAGCCCTATTATAACTGATACATAAATTCTGTAGAGTTGCAGGAAACACAAAAGCAGCATACACAAATCAGTTGCACTTCTGTATGCCAAAAATGAACTGTCCAAAAAGAAGGGGGGGGCACACCTCATCAACAAGGGTACCTGCGTAATGAACATTTGTATCCCTAACCCTGAATTGTATCCCATATATTTAAAATAAAAAATTTATGTATATATAAAAGAAAGAAAATCAAGAGAACAATTCCATTTTCAATAGCTCTTTTGCATCCTTGGTTAAGTTTATTCCCGGGAATAAACTTAACCAAGGATGCAGAAGACTTGTACACTAAAAACTATAAAATGTTGATCAAAGAAATTAAAGAAGATACAAACAACATGGAAAGACAGCCTGTGTTTATAGATTTGAAGACATAATATTGTTAAAATGTCCATAATACCCATATATATGGGTGTGTGCATGCGTGTGTGTGTGTGTATGTGTGTGTGTGTGTGTATGTGTGTGTAGTCCCTATCAAATTCCCAGTGATATTTTTTACAGACAAAAAAAAAAATCCTAAAATTCATATGGAATCACAAAGAACCCTGAATAACCAATCTTGAGAAAGAAGAGCAAAGCTGGAGGCCTCACACTTCCTGATTTCAAAATATATTACAAAGCTATACTAATCAAAACAGCATGGTAATGGGATAAAGACAGACATGTAGAACATGTGAACAGGATAAAGAACACAGAAATAAACCTACTTATATATAGTCAAATGATCTTCAACAAGGATGCTAAGACTGCATGATGGGAAAAGGATAGTCTCTTCAACCAGTGGTGTTGGGAAAACTGGGTATCCACATGCAAAAGAATGAAATTGGACCCTTTTAGTGTACACAAAAATCAACTCAAAATGGATGAAAGACTTAAACATAAGACCTGAAACTATAAAACTTGTAGGAGAAAACATAGGAGGAAAACTTCATAACATTGGCCTTGGCAATGATTTCTTAGAAAACTAGAGAAAGAAAACTAGAAAGAAAACTAGAGAAGTGAGACTACATTAAACTAAAAACTTCTGTACAATAAAAGAAACAATCAATAGGGTGAAAAGGCAACCTACAGAATGAGAGAAACTAACTGGAAACCATATATCTGATAAGGAGTCAGTATCCAAAACATATAAAGAATTTCTACAACTCAACAGAAAAAAAAGATAACTCAATTAAAAAATGAGCAAAGGACTTGAATAGACATTTATTCAGAGAAGACATACAAATGACCAACAGGCTATAAAAAGGTGCTTAACATCATGAATAATCAGGGAAATTCATCAAAACCACAGTGATTTCACCTTATACTTGTTTATGATAGCCATTAAAAAACAAACAAAAAACAGAAAATAACAAGTGTTTACAAGGATGTGAAGAAAGTGGAGTCCTTGTGCACTGTTGGTGGGAAGGTAAAATTGTGTAGTCTTTTTGGAAAATAGTTTGAGGGTTCCTAAAAAAATTAGATATAAAATTATTATATGAGCTAGCAGCCTTACTTCTGGGTGATTATCCAAAAGAATTGAAATCAGGATCTTGAAGAAATCTTTGCACTTCCATATTTATTATAGCATTATTCACATTAGGTGAAAATAAAGGTCAATTGAAGGGTGAATGAATAAAGAAAATATGATATATCCATGCAACAGAATGCTATCCAACCATGAAAAGAAAGAAATACTGTCATGTGCTACATTGTTTTCAAGGATCTTGAGAACATTATTATGGTAAGTAAAATAAGCCAGGCACAGAAGGATAGATACTGTATTATTTCACTTACATGAGATATCTAAAGTAGCCAAACTTATAGAAACAGAAAGTAGAATGGTAGTTGCCATGGGTCAGGTAGAGGGGGAAATGGGGTGTTGCTGTTCAGTGGGTATAGAGTTTCAGTTATACAAGACAAAGAAGTCTTAGAGATATACTATGTAAAATTGTTATAGTTAAAAACACTGTACTATATGCTTAAAAATCTTTTAGGAGAGTAGATCTCATGTTATGTGTTTTTTTTTTACCGCAGTGAAAAAATCCTATGTGAATGAGGTCACAACCACAAAAGTCTGCTGGGCCAGTACTGTAAGAAAATGCAGCTAGGCAGGGGATGGAGTGATCATAGAGTACAGCTGACTGTTTTGGACAGGAAACCACATATCCTGTGTAAGGGGGACAGTTACACTCAGCTCCAGCCAATTGCTGCCATGAAAAGCAGAGACCCATTAGGGCCAGATTTGATTTTTTCCAAAGAAGCCATAACACTTAAGTTTTATAGGGACTCTTCCTATTTTTAATTCAAAATACTCAAAACTCTTTGTGAGTAGCCCTCATCTTAGCCCCTAGCAAACTAAAGCATCTGATGTATTCAGCCAGAGAGTGACCAGTTTAAAGTATCTGTATCAGGAATGTTAATCTGACATTTGTATGCACGATCAATTAGAGAAAGCGGCAGAAAGACCATGGACAAAGAATGTAATTAGGAGATTCTAGGTAAAAAGTAGTAAAAGCCTGAATCAGAAGGGAGACAGAAAAAAATACAAAGATGAGAACAGAGTGCATTGACTTGAAGAATGTATAGACTGGTAGGGTTGCTCAGCTGATTTGGTGTGGGGTGGGAATGTGATGGAGAAGATGAAGACTTTTTCAAGGTTTGGAGCCATTTGAAAGTGAGTTGGAGCTGCTGTGCCCCTTTCCTCTAGATCCTTGAATGTGTATTTACTACGAACAGAGCTACTCTTGCATCACCTTAGTACAATGATCAAAATCAGGAAATTTACATTGGTGCAATGCTATTATCTAATCCATAGTCCTTATTCTAATTCTGTCAATTTTTCCAATAAGCATATATGTTTTTAATAGTACAAAAACAAGTAGCTAGACAGATGCCAAGGGATCCCTTGCAGGTGAGCTAGCAGAGTTGCATAACAAGGTGCTGCCTGGTTGCATGCTTTCCCTCTGCAGGCTGGTTTCCAGCTACCCTCCAAACAGGAGCACATGTGTGACTAGGCATCTGAGCTGGTGGATCCACATTGGATTGGATTGTATGTCTTCTGTCTATGCATAAGTGAGGATACAATAATACTAGGGAGAGGATTTCAAAGGAGAAGATGTGACTGCCTATTAGAAAGGCCTGAGATGGCTTCTTAGAGGAGATAGCTGAGTTGAGCCTCCAAGAAGAGGTAGGATTTCTCTATAGGGGCCAGTTTCTTACAGAGACAGGGTAAAATGGAAGCATTCTACTTGATGGAAGATAATTGTAATCCTGGGATATATAACAAGTCATATATATAAACAAGTTAAATATTTATAGAAGTGGTGACGTGATAGAATATATCAAATAATAACATTGCAAAGAGGCTGACTGCAAATTTGGATTGGGGGGTGACAAGTGTTTAGCAGTTTCCTAACCTGTTGGGATGGTCATGGTAATAAGAAATAAGAAAATTATTTACTAAGGGATATAGAGTTTAAAATTACCTTTTCTTTTCTTTATTCAGCAAAATATGTACTTTAGGGATATATCTGGTTTTTTCCCCGATTGTTTACAAGTTTTAGGAGAACTGCTATTTTTTAACCTAAATATATTTGTGTTTCCCTTTCAAGGTGAGGACCAAGGATCATGTATTTGATAATGTTGGTCACCTTATTAGATACCATATGGATAACAGTTTGCCAATCATCTCTTCTGGAAGCGAAGTAAGCCTTAAACAACCAGTGAGAAAAGATAATAATCTGGGACTTTTGCATTCTAACAAATGACAGTATTGAAGCATCATCACATTGATATTTTAAGACACTCCATTTTGTGTTAGGACACAAAGATAATCAAATTTTGTTTCTATGTAATGTATAGCACAAACTGTGAAGTGCATCTTTCCAAGACTATCATGGACCAGGTCCTTTATAAAACAAAGAACTAACAAAAATTGATCTTCAGAAATGAATATCAGAAAAGAGGAAGAGGATTTGTTCATTTGAAAGTAAATTATACATAAGCACGAATGTCACTTTTTAAGGTCATATTGCATTGATAACAAGTTAAAAGCACAATTAAAATTTCACATGCTAAAGACAATTTGAACTGCTGGGGCAGTGGTATGTGCCTTTCAACTTGATAATTTGGGGACATTTTCATATTGGGGAGATTAGTTCTAAGTGTCTTCATGTTCTATAACTACAGAACCATTTGCCAAAAGAAATTTTTTTCTTGCTACAGAAGATAAGCAATTTGCTTGATAGTTATTGACTTTACTATTTTCTGTTTAGTAGCATTTTTACTGCAATTTTAAAATAAATATGACATTGAACTCAGACTTAGTTTATGCCAGTGGAATCAGATCAAAAGCCACTGAACTCATTGGTCTGTCCTATTTGCTAGTTAAGAGGTTGGGGCCCAAATTCTCTGGCCTAGCATTTCTCACTATTTGCTTTTCAGACTGTTCGGATACAGTATGTAACAAATTGAAGAGGCCAAATCTATCAGTCGTTTCTGATTTTATCATATTCTCCCTTTCTTCCCATTTCAAAAAAAAACACTCATGAGTGCATGGATGTAAAAGATGGCAAACAAATCCAGTGTTTTACATACTTAATATTCAAATTAGTTTCATTCTTAGTGAAAGTACAGAATCTATTTTAAAATATAGGGAAAGTTCTTCCTGATTGCCACTTAACCATAGTTTCTCATCTGTGTATATCCTTAACACCTTTTATAGATGTAATCACACAAAATGCGGAAGGGAGAAAACATACTAAATGAAGTCATTGGAAAGATTTGGCACAAACAGACCAACTGGTAAACTGATAGTTAAGTAAGCATTGTGTTGGGAAGAGTACTAGGCTGGGGCTTCTCAGTATGGCCTCGAACAAATTTGATTTGGATTCCAGTTTTTTTTGTCTATAAAGTGAAAAAGATAGGGGAGGTGAATTCAGAGGTCCACTTCAGCCCTAACTTAGAATTAGTCTATAAAAAGCAAGTTTTCATTTTCGAGGGGTTGCTATTGATAACCAGTCTGTATGTGAAGGTAAAAAAATAAGTTTTGTTTTCTTCTTTGGTCTGTGTCTATACTCACAGAATGAATGTCAGTATTCACATAATTTAGACACCAAATCTTTCAGTCTAAAACATCGTCAGTTTGGAATAATATAGATAATGATGGTAAAGATGTGGATTTGGTTTGTTTTGAGTAGCAGAAAACTGCTTTGGTTCTTCATTTGCCTTTGTATATAGAGATATGGCCATCCCATAAAGGTTTTTTTTTTTTTTTTAAATTCTGTATTATCTGAACAATTGCCTTAACTCCATTTCTTTTAGCTGTGTGGATACAACTTAGTTTTTGTGATTGAGATATAGCTCCTCAGTTTTAAATAAAATACGGTAAACTTATTTTGTATAGAATCATCAGAAACCAAGCACACTGAACTCTAATATTTTTAAGTAAAGGCTTATGATTTTATTTTATTTCCATTGATTTTTAAGATGGATTTGTTTCCTTTTATTCAACTAGGAAATAATGTATTTTCATTAGTTTTCCATATACCTTAGTTCTTGATCAGTTGTCCTCATAAAGGGCATCAGCTTATAGATAGTAGAAATTTATGGGTAATCTAGTAACCACTTTTATCAGAGACTTGGCAAAACTGTGGTCTCAGTCTGGCTAAGCAGAGTATTAATTGAGTAGCAAAAAAGAGTTCCTTATACAAATAGATGCAGAGAGTGTAAATGGTGTCAGCAGTATACATGGATAATCAATATTTGGCTGTAATGGTATGTTAGCTAGGTAAGCAAAGACTGCACTTAAAAATACCACAGACACAGTTAAAAGGAAACAGTAAAAGAAATGCCTGCATGCTATTTTAATCTCACCTTATCTTTGTCTTAAAGTGGAAATACATTTGCATATAAATACCTGTAAATGACTTTAAAAAAAAATAAATTGCTTTGTGACAACTGACAATATGTCTGATGTTTGGGATTTGCAAACTCTATCATGTGTAGAAGGTGTCAGAGAAACACATGGCTCACTCAAATTGGGTAACTTGAGGATAGTTTAATAAAGGGACTGTTTACAAATGTGTGGACAGAGTATCAGGAAACCAGAAGGGAGAATTCAGTACCCTGTGGCCAGTGAAGAGGAGAAAGGGAAGGAACAGTTAATCGAATCTGGAGAGATGGTTGTGTGCCAAGGACACAGGAGCTGTGGCTTATAGTGGAAGCAACCAGCCCTGGTGGCTCAACAGAGGCAACTAGGGGCATTAATAATCTTTTCCTGCTCCCTCTCTCTGGTCTTTTGCTGGGATTCTCCACTGGTCCAAGCAACTTGAAGACAGAAAGCGAGGGAGCAACTTGATAGTCCTGAAGGTCAGCCTCCTGGGCACAGAAGAGAATGGAAAAGTGTGTGTGTGTGTTGCGGGGGGTGGATCTGGAAGGGCAAACAGAGCACTTCTAAGTACAGAGGATTTTGGAGACAGTCAAGCTTCTAAAAGTATCCAAGAGGTTTGGATAAGCCACAAAGTGAAGCTAATTTTCAGAGGATTCGTTACAGACTCTTAGGTAACCATATATGAACCACAGCAAAAATGTCAATTTTTTTTTTTTTTTTTTGAGTTGGAGTCTCACTCAGTGACCCAGACTGGAGTGCAGTGGTCGCGCCCGGCTACTGCAGCCTCCACCTGCTGGACTCCAGCGAACATTCCGCCTCAGCCTTCCAAGTAGCTGGAACTACAGGCGCGCACTACCACGTCCGGCTAATTTTTGATTTATTGTAGAGATGAGGTCTCGCCAAGTTGCCCAGGTGGGTCTCGAACCCGTGGGCTCAGGCAATCCACTCACCTCAGCTTCCCAAGGCGCGGGATTACAGGCTGAGTCACCGAGCCTGGCTAATTTTTTAATAATGATTAAAAGTCAAATAAGCTATATTTTGAGGCATTGGTTGTTTTGCTCTATCACAAAACCTTTCATTCTTACAGAGATACTTTTACTCCCTAGCTTTCATGTTTGTTGCAAGTCATTCTACTAATTTTGCCATTTATTTTACTCATAGTTATATATGGAAACATAATGAACTTGGTCCTGCTACCTTTTATGATTGGAATTATAGATCCACATAAATTACAATATGATATCATTTCTTACTATGGAAAACACATCTGTGAAACATACCATCTGTATCTGTGGAAAATATTTAAATGTTCACATATTTGTGTGAAATAAATTGCTACTTCAATGTCTTTGAGCTTCTTGTCTTATACAAGGTAAAGAAAGCCTCTTTCGTTAGTTGCTCATTTTTGCTTCAGTTGTAGGCACTTAATTTGCCTGTAGTTTGCCATGATCTTATTAATGAAACAAATGGACTTAGTGTGAGAATGAAACAAGTTACTACTACAAACCCTCAAAACATCAAAGGAATAATAGGGGAGTGCTACATACAATTCTATACACATAATTATGACAACTTAGATGAAATAGACCAGTTTCTCGAAAAGTACCTCTAATATAATTTATCTGATATGAAATCTATCATTTGAATAGCCTTATAACTAGTAAAAAAATTGAACATACAATGTAAGACCTCTCCAAAAGAAAATTTGGGGTTCAGATGGTTTCACTGGAGAACTCTTGTCATTTGCGTAAGAATGAACATCAATGCTATATAATTGCTTCTAGAAAGCTGAAAAGAAGGGAACACTTCCCAGTTCATTTTTTGAAGCAAATATTGCTCTGACATCAAAACAAGACAAAAACAGTAACAACAACAAAAAAACTACAGATAATATTTCTATGAATCGAAATCCTTAATAAAATATTAGCAAGTGCTATTCATCAATATATAAAAAGAATTATACACCATGACTAAGTGAGGTTAATTCCAAGGATGCAAGGCTAGTTCAGTGTTTGAAAATTAATCCCTGTAGTCCACCATATTAACAAGCTAAAGAAGAAAAATCATACAGTATCAATTAATACAAAAATACATTTGACACAATTCAACACCCATTCATGATTTAAAAATTCTCTGTAAATTAAGAATAGATCAATATCATCTATAAAAAACTTACAGCAAACATTATATTTTTATAGTGATCATCTGAGTCCTTTACTCCTAAAATCAGGAACAAGGTAAGGATGTCTGTAATCACTATTCGTGGCTCGTAGAGTCCTGGAAGGTCTAACCCCTGCAATAAGTTGAGAAAAGGATATAAAAGGCATGAAGATCATAAAGGGAGAAATAAAACTGTCCCTATTTGTAGATGATGTGATTGTCAATGAACATAGTTCCAAGGAATCTACAAAAAAAAACTCCCCAAAATAGGAGGGGGGAAAAAAAAACTCATAGAGCTATGTGTGTTTAGCAAAGTTTAGAAGACACAAGGCAAACATATAAAATTCAGTTACATTTCTAAATAATAGCAAAGAACACAGACACCAAAATTTAAAATGCAATACCATTTATTTTGCTAACAACAGAGAATTACATGTAAACCTAATAAAATATGTACAAGATGTAGGCTGAAATGTACAAAATGCTAATAAAATAAGTTTAAAAGATTAAAAATAATTGGAGAGACATACTGTGTTCACGGATTGCAAACTTCAACATAATAAAGATGTCAACTCTCCACAAATTGATATGTAGACTTAATGCAACGCCTATCAAAATTCCAGCAAGATATTTCATAGATATAGGCAAAATTATTCTAAAATTTATGTAAAAATGCAAAGAAACTAGAATGGCTAAAACAGTTTTGAAAAAGAAGAACTGGATGGGAGGAATCATCCTGTCTGATTTCAGGACTAAAATAATTGCAGTACTTAAGACTATGATATTGGTGGAGGGATAGACACACAGATCAATGGAACAAAATTGAGAACCCAGAAACAGAACCACTAAAGTATGTCCAACTGATTTTTGGCAAACCTGCGAAGCAACTCAATGGATGAAGAATAGCCTTTTCAATAAATGGGACTGGAACAATTGAACATCTCTAGGCAAAAGAATGGACCTCATGCTTTAATACAACATTGACTCAAAACTTTTTGGAAAAGACATAGGAGAAACTCTTCGAGATATAGGACTAGGGAAAATGTTCTGACACTTAACATGATCCAGAAAAGGAAACACTGGTACATTAACCTTCTTCAAAATTACAAATTTTTGATCTGTGAAAAACTGTTGAGAGGCTGAAGTTCAAACTATAGACTGGGAGAAAATATTTGCAAGCCATCTGTCTGACAAAGAACAAGTATCTGGGATATATATTTTTAAAACTCTCAAAAGTCAATAGTAAGAAAAAAGAAATCTAATTAGAAAATGGGCAAAAAATATGAAGAGACATTTGACTGAAGAAGATAGACAGATGGCAAATATGAGGCCTGACAATTAAATTCACGAACTCATCTTACAAAGAGTGCTATATACCTCATTGCTAAATATCACTACAGTCACCTTTAAAGTAGTCCCCTTGGGAAGCTATGCACTGATGCCAGTGCCTAGTCCACTTGTTAAAGCCATTTTGGAACTCTTTTTCTGGAATGGCCATCAGAACTGTCATATCAAAATGTCTTGTTTTTGTTTTTGTTTTTTTTAAAACATATTTTTTATTTTAAAATTGTAGGGTACAGTTAAGGGTTAGGTATACAAATATGCATCGTTCAGGCACCCTTGTTGATAAGGGGTGTCCCCCATCCCCTGACAGATATTGACTACCATTAATCCCACCTCCCTTCCCCTCCCTGCCCCCCCATAGTTTCTGCCACTGTCGATCCTTTTCTTATAGTATTACAACAGATGTTCAAGGTTCACTTATGAGTGAGAACATGTGATACTCA